AAAAAAAAGTTCCATCTCTATTATTTTGATATTTAAACGTAGTACGATATGTCTTGGAGTAGCTACTGTAGAATGCAAGATAAATGTACATTCAAAGCTGAGCTCAATACAAATGACCAATGAGTGAACAACATTGCTGATCTGTCAGTAGTCAATGAAATATGTTATCATTAAAAAATATCCAAGTTTGTATTTGTATCCAAATGAGGTAGAACTGATGTGTGCATAGATTGTTTATTATCGTTCCTTGGGAATCATAACTGGGTAACTTGTAGTAAAACGTCAAATTTTCAATAACATTATAGGAGTATAATTTTCTTGACACAGTAAAACTACTTTCGTCAAAAATATACAATGAAATCACTCCTACTAGTTTTACAACACATTTAAATAATTATTTAATACACTTTTTGTTCGATTTTGTACATCCTTTATGAAAAAAATCTATTTAATAACAGTTATCAGACAAATAATTTCTAAACCTATGGATGACTATGACATACAATTAAGTATTAATAAACAATCATCAGTTTACTTTAAGACCTATGTTCTAAGTCAATAAAAACGTAAAACAATCAGCAGCTATATCACAAAATTAACATGACTATTATAAGAAATATAATAACCTGCACTGACAAAACTGTTTCATTCAAGTTAAAATTCATATTATTATATTCTGATCTATCAAATTTATATTAAGGTAACATTCTGGTGCATTGGTAGTGGAAGAACTAATTCCCACCCAGTTAAAAATCACCAACACCTCAAGGTAAATGAAAACTTGCTAATCACAAGCTATTATTTAATTAATTTACATTTTCCAAGAGTAGTTAACATAGTCATGGAATTATACTACCAACCAATTATTATTTGGGCTTATGCTTTTTGCAAAATCCAACAAACCTACACTAACATGATCAATTAATTGTTTTCCCACCGGGGGACAAATGAAAAGATCATAAAAGTGACTTAGGTTTTCATTTTCAGTGATATTACATGATAACCAATAAATTTTGAAGATGCCTGATTTTTATCTTCTGCATAAATGAGATGTTGTGTTGTTAAAAAAGATTTGTGATAATGCTTGTCTAATGAATTTTGACAGATATGATAAAACATTTCTTGCAGTTTACTTTCACTATGATTATTTTATATATATACAAAAGTAGGATGTGTTTGATTAATTTTCTCGAAGTTATATTTTAGTAACAACATGAATAGGTTGAGTTGAACCTGGCAAATAATGTGCCAGACTATGGACCTGAGATTCCATGGTTCATGACCCCTTATTGCAAACAAAAACAGAGATAACTCTCAGCCATGGACATGATATAAGAGTGTTGGTGAAATCCTATATTTTGTCTTGACAAGTGTTTGTAGTGGGTGGTAATAACTAGCTGTCTTCCATTTAATGTCACCTCAAAATTAAGGATGGCTAATGCAGATAGTTCTTATATATTTTATTTAGATCATGCAGTCAGTCATTTATATTGTTAACCTAGAAAAATGCAAGTTGAAACTTGAACCTAAAATTATATCTTTATTGAGTTTATGGTTGTTATTAATTATGAAATCTGGGAGTAGAGGAGAACTGGAACTGATTTCAGAATCAAAGGTGTTTTTTCATATTATTAAGTAAATTTTAAAAGTTTCTTAGAGTTTACTTATATTGAAACTGTTTTCCTATTGTACAAAGGCTTTTCTGCAAGAAATAAAAGCTTCATAATTAAAGGAAATAAAAAATGCTTAAAATTTTTCTTTGAGCTTCTAAAAATACGTTTGAATTGCTAAAGTATTTTATGATGAACTGGTATTGTAGTTAAGGTTGTTATTAGATTTACTTAATTAGCTCAAAATGAAAAGTACTATTCAGTTATGTAATGACTTATTTCAGAATTTAAAAGTCAATTTTAATTTATAGTGTGTGTGTGTGTGTTAAATTTTTTTCCAAGATTAAGAAATGTACAAAAGTGACTATTTGATCTACACCTAATAAATTTTACAACTGGAAGTTTGTGATGTAGGTTATGAGCAAAACTGTACTAATTCTGATAATACTATAATTGCTTCTCCCAGAAAAGAAAAATAGATTACTGCTATAGAAATATGGAGTAATGGAAGAGTTGTGTGGTAAAATCTGTTACTACTGCAGTAACAGTATAATGTTTTAAGATTATTCAGGTTATTTTATTCTGATTTCAGTAATTGTGCATACAATTAGAAATCAATCTGGCTTTAATTTATTTTATTTAATTTATATTTTTCTGTTCTTCATAATTAATCTTATTAAATGAAAATATATTTTATTTTTCTATAACAAAACCACATTAGGCTATCTGCTGTGTCCATCGAAGGGAATCAAACCCCTGATTTTAGAGGGATATCCATAAAACAATAAGCTTTAGAAAGTTTTTGTCATAATTATCAATCAGTCAGTAATTATGTAAATATTCTTCCCTATTTATGTAATCTATATATAAACATTTGAACGTTTATAAGTAGAGAACAAAACAAATCAAGCATTTCTAACACATGCTTGATATAAATTTAAGAGATTAAAAAAGAATTAGTACAATGGTTTGTAAGTTATGCTTATTATACAGCTCAACAAAATTAAGGGAGCAAGAATGTGAGCAAGCATCAAAAACAAACTGATCAGTGTGAAGAGAATGTTAGTAGATTTTGGACACATTAGCAATCCACTGGATCACACACCAGGAGATCAGGCCAGGGCCATACATGTGCTAAAAGTCAAAGACAGGACTGCTACTTGGTGAACTTAACACTACAGAATTATCAAAATACTGCTTGAAGCCTCATGGCCCAGGTTTGATCATACAGCATTCTGCTGCCAGTTATGTTTACATCACAACTGGCAACCTTATCATTGGAGATATGTACTCTTTACGAACAAAATTTGGTTTCATTTTTTCACTTGTGACACACATGTCCATGTATCGCAATGCGAAAGTGAAGGTTATGTGCTTTGCAATACTGTGGAATTTGATCATATGTGGTGAGGTTCTGTTATAGTCTGCTTGAAATGTCACAATGACCTAATTTTTGTTGATGGAATTTCCTTATCTGCACAACTGTATTGAGATGACATTCTATACCCTGTTGTATGATTTTTTGTAGCAACCAATTTCACATTGGTGCAGGATAATGCCAAACTCTACACTGCCACATTATCCATGGATTACTTAAAGCTGCAAGGGATCGAGATGATGGAGTGGCCAGCAAAATTATCAGGCTTGAAACATGAATGGGAACAACAGTATAGACAGATTCATTGCCATACAATTCCCCCTGCCTTGGTTTGGAACTGCAGCAAACCTTGACAAACAAATGGAATACTATGCCTCAAGGCTACGTAAAACGCATTGTCAGAAGTATGCCAACATGGTTGTCAAGAGTGTATACAAGCTCAAAGTAGTCACTCTTACTGGAGGTTAATGATAAACATCAGTTTTGTGTTCCTCTTGGTTTCATGTTGTGTACACAAATGGGTTACACTTTCGTTTTAAGGGGTGTTCTTCAGTAATGTAATAAGTTATTTGGAAAATGAAAACTCAAAGATTTGGTATATAATAAAAGGCTTTTTCATTGTAATTACCATTTCTGTTACCTTAATTATTTACTGAAATGTTCAGTTTTTTTTTATTTTGCTCCCATAATTGTTTTACACAATGTGTTTTGAAATCTGGAAACCTATTAAGATCAAAGCTCAAAATAACTTTGCGTATTTAAAACAGAGTTCATAGCAGTCCTTAAAAATATATTAAATTCACAGGTTTTGGCTTCTGAAGCCTTAACTATAATTTCTGTGGGTAGTGATGCTTTAATATTTTTGTAACTTTCACACTGTACCTATGATTAGAATTGTTAAGGTACTTTGCATTAATTTTATCTAGGCCATACTCAAAACTGTATAAAATAAACAGAGTTTGCCATGCAATCGTTCTGTCTAGGACAATTACCCGAAATGGGAGTACAAAATCAAGTTTGGCTTATTTTGATAGACATGTGTTTTGCTACTAATGTAAATGGCGGAAATAGGCTTACCATTGTTACAGTCTGTTTACATTAAGTCTGGGACTTAACCATAGTGTGTGTGAATCTCTGTTCATATTAGAATGTTAATGCAATCATGGAAAAGTGTGTGTTCAGTGATAGGTGTCTGGAGGACAGTCAATACAGCCATTGGTTGGTACAACACAGCATGTAAGAAGCCAATTGCATGGTGTGCACAAAGACATTTTAACTCGGAATAATGAGTATTAATATCATTTACTAACACAGTGAAAGTGGAAAACACAAATCTAATTTATGTACTTTCCATTGTACACATACAAATATAATTACAAACTACATGTCTAATAGCACAGTTAGATCTAGGTCTACATAAACAAGTACTGGGGTCAGTGTAGGAACATATGTACCTAGAGATAATAGATAGACCTGATCTAGGCCTATACAACCAGAGGCTGCCAACCTATGTTAGACTTTTGGATCCATGGGAATACTCAAAACAGAAATTCTTTAGACTGTGGAAACTGTTACTCAGAATAACTTATATACGTCCGATGAAAATACTGGGTCACTGTGCCTGTCCATGTTCGATGACAGTAATATTTGCAATGTATTCAAGTATGGAAGAGTCACAAAAGGGTATTTGACAATGTTTGGACTGGCACTACACATAAAGGATTAGTTGATTTCACAGGCACAATCTAGCAATTTTGCAATAATG